CAAATTATACAGAAGTCATTGGTGAACTTTTTACATTCATGCATATATAAGACAAATATTTCGACACAGTAAGGACACATCGCGAGCTAACAGTGTAACGCACCAACTTCAAACGGGTAATTCCCATGCCGTCAAAAAGTTTCATATAGACGCTAACGCGGGAATTCCCCGTAAAAAGGTGATAGGTTCCTGGGGAAATCGCGAGTCCCCCTTACTGCTGCTAAACTACTCGCAAATGCGACTCTCAAATGCACAGAAAAAATAGCTTTAAGACAAATTATAGACCAAAACCAATTTTAAAAAAACTTTCATGTAGTCAAAGATGGATCAAGAAGTGTTCTTCAAGAATTCAGCTGTGTGTTAGCAAATAATCGTTTATTATTCTTTTTTTTGACAAGCATTGTTCTCGACGAATCGACAAATCAAAGACTTTTTCTCAAAACTTTTTATATTTCTATAGATAAACTTAATTTATTTTAATGCTGGAGGAAATATAACACGGAGAGCATATTACGACAACAAGTATTCGTCCTTTCTTTAACTTTGTAAATCTTTAACAATAGACCTATCCCGAATTCGCTTGACTGGTCACGAAAGAATGGTTTCAAGTCGAGGTTGAACTTGATGAATAAAAGAATCAAGTCCAGTCTCAACTTCAAACCATTGTTTCGTGGTCAGTCAAGCGAATTCGGGATAGGTCTATTCGGTTGTTTTTAATCAGCTATCGTATGTTTTTCGTTCAAGAAAAATGCAGCTTTGTTCGCCTCCTATCGCGGGGTCCTATCGGCAGAACAAAGAAAACTTTCATTCAATAATTTTATATCTTTCTACAGATAGTTCATTTAATTTTTGAATGAAATATAAATTTACACCAAATGTTCAACTGTTTATTAAGCTGTTCGAGCAAGTATGATCTGATGAAAATAAGCTTAAATTTGTGTTGTTGAGACACTTTAAAAACCTAAAAAATTCAAAAACATTTACAAACGCCAATTTACTGACAAGAAATTCGTCATCAGTTTTGTATTTTGCATTATTTTCTATTTTCCTCAGATGTTCTTGTCAAGTTTATTGCTGGGATACCTGTGGTATACCAGCTATAAAATGCCTTTGTTTTTTTTTCTGATTCCTGCTCCACAAATTGAACAAGTTGCGCAATAGTACCCAGGGGTCTTTAGGAACTTACCCAAGAGACCTTTGCGGGTATCTGCTATAGGGTTCCCATCTGTCATGTGTCTACGCATGCTCTATTTCGTTGACCGCCGTAATACAAGACAGCCGAACTAGAAATATTAATTTATCAATTTCAAAATCTGTTAACATTTGGTCAGCTGCGATTTCAAGCTCTCGCCCCCTCATGTGAGCCCATACAAATTATGTCTCAAAAACACGGTTTTTGGATCTTTTCTCAAAATAATGACTATCTGGGCAAAAAACAGAAGGGGATTCAGTTAATTCAACTATTCACGGACTGTATTATATGGTTTAGATTGAATTATATTGAAAAAACCACCGTACTTTTTGAGTTGAATGTACGCCATTGGATGTACTTTACAAGAGAAAATGCATGACATAACCGGGGTCAAGCTAGAAAATCGTCTCTCCTTGAAATAAAACAGAACCTGTCAAAAAAACAGAAGTGGATTTGAAAACCCCGGGCTTTCCAGAACATTTTGGTATATAATTCATAGGAATTTGTCAAAATTTAGAACCGTATTTTTGCTGATTTTATAAGCTTATACTATCTGTAGGCCTATACATTCGCCTCTTATGGTTTCTTAGGTTTCGTAGCCTCGAAAACACGCTAGTACAGTAGTTTGCGAAGAACAGAAGATTTACAGGGTCATTTAGGGTGTTGTGTCACGCAGTTTACTTGCCGCTATATAACTTTACTTTTAAGAACAACCTTTTGCTTTGGAAGAAGAGAAAAAAGACCGAAAAGATCAAATATTCCAAATGTATGGGCAATTTTTTCCAATGGAGCAAATATTAGCCTGTATTTATACGTTTTATACGGAAGCATTTTGATTTTAAAGCGAGCTATACAATTTTCGTGCGAATGAGCACGTTCATGAAATCTAATTACGTATATGCCGAAATCTGGACCGGAACTGGAATTTGGAGTTCCAGATTGAGTTGTTCGATGACTTCGATAAGTAAGGTTTGTTTTGATTTTTCTTTCTGACCTGGGGATGGTGGTGAGCTGTGTACAAAATTCCTAAGTGGGAGAGTATA